TGGAAAGGGACTCTTCGGTCTACGGACGCGGCAGATATACCTTGAAGTCTCTGGAGAATTGCCTCGCCTCAAGGGTAGTAGGCTGAGTCGAAGTACCTGGACCTGCACACAAAAAACATGTGCAGGAAAGGGCATGAGTACACTACAGCGGTACCCGGTAAGTGCCAAGCCTAACCTCGGTCGAGTAGTGACGAGGAAGGTCAGGGTCATACCGGTCAAATACAATAATATATAAGTAAAAGAAGCAGTATTAAAGTAACACAGGGTAATAAGAGTAGCAACAACTACAACAGAGACAAAATAATCACAAAAGGAATACAGCTCAACACAGAGATAACAACCGGGGATCTCCCAAGATACCATCCTGTAGTCCCCAAATATAAATATCCAGTGGATCTCTCGGGTGTCGTCCCGTAGTCCAACTCATAACGCGCAGGGGATCTCCCGGAATACCACATCTGTAGTCCCAAATGTAAATACTCAGTACTGAGGGAAATCTACCGGGTGCAGTCCCGTAGTTCCAATATAAATGTGCAGGGGGATCTCCCGAAATACCACATCTGTAGTCCCAAATAAACAGGCAAGGGGGATCTCCCGGGATATCGCCCATAGTCCCAAAGTAAACACACAGCAGCAACACGAAGAATATTCAATTCAATTAAATTTATACCAAGGTAAAACAGGTATTTCTAGCCTAGCATGCTGCACAGAATTCAAATAAGCAATTTGAGCAAGTAAAACAATTGAATCATTTAGACATGCTTTCCTAAGCTAACAGTAGGCTTAAATTTCAAGTAGTGTAAACAGGGAAGAAATACACAATTATAGTTACTTAATGAAAATCGGATTTTCAACAATTAGCATATGTACGCACTCGTCACCTCATGTACAAGGCATTTCATATATCACAGTACCAATTCCTAAGGGATGTTTCCCCCACACAAGGTTAGGCAAGCCACTTACCTCAAACCAGCTCAATCAACTCAATACCACGTTGTTGCCACGAGTACCCGACTCCATATGGCCCAAATCCATTCAAAGTAATTGCATATTGTAAATATAACTTAAAGTAACTAATTCAACTAATTAATTCGAAGCTAATACGCGAAATTAGAAAAACCGCCCAAAAAGTCCCCTAGGCCCACGTCTCGGAATCGGGTAAAATTTACAAATTTAGAATCCTCACCTCTCACGAGTTCATACATACCAAAAACACGAGAATCGGACCACAAACAACCCCTCAAATCCCCAATTTCAAGTCTCCAATTTAAAATCCTAAACCCCCAAGTTTAACCCTTATTTCCCCATATTCCTTGCCCAAATCAGTAGAAAATACAATAATAACGAGTTTGGGTTCCAAAAATCTTACCTCTTCGAAGCTCTCTTGAATCCTCCCTCAAAAACCTCCCAAAAAGCTCAAGAATCCGGATGAAAATGGTGAAGAAATGGGCAAAATCACGACTGAACCTTTATATAGGTTCTGGCCCAGGGTTTCCGCACCTGCGGCCATTTAATCGCACCTGCGACCCGCACCTGCGGTCCCAGGTGCGCATCTGCGATATTTCATTAATTGCACTAGGCCGCACCTGCGCTTCTTCTACCGCACCTGCGGTCTCGCAGGTGCGCTCAACCCCTCGCACCTGCGGATTCTGGTCTCCAAGCGCTTGGTCGCATCTGCGGCTCCTCCATCGCTTCTGCGATCATGCACCTGCGGTCCCCAAACCGCAGGTGCGGTTATGACAGAACTTCAGTAGCTGAAGTTGCTTCCAAACCTTCTAATTTTTTTCCGTCAACCTTCCTAAATCATCCCGAGGCCCCCAGGACCTCAACCAAAAATACGAACAAGTCATATACCACTATTCAAACTTGTACCAATCCTCGGAACACTCAAAACAATGCCGGAATACCAAATCACCCTCGGATTCAAACCTAAGGATTTCCAAAACTTCCAATTTCCGCTTTTGATCAAAAAGTCTATCAAACCTCGTCCGAATTACCTGAAATTTTACACAAACATCCCAAATGACACGACGGGCCTACTCCAACTTCCGGAATTCCATTCCGACCCCGATATCAAAATCTCACTATCGAACCGAAACTTCAAAAATTCAACTTTCGGCATTTCAAGCCTAATTAAGCTACGGACCTCCAAAACACAATCTGAACACGCCCCTAAGCCCAAAATCACCCAACAAAGCTAACGGAACCAACGAAACTCCATTCCGAGGCCGTCTTCACACTGCTCCGACTACGGTCCAAATTCTAAGGCTAAAACTCTCATTTAGGGACTAAGTATCCCAAAACACTCTGAAACACAAAACGAATCCTCCCGGCAACTCACAATAGCAGAAACAAACACGGGGAATGCAGTTAATAGGGGAACGGGGCATTAATTCTTAAAACGACCGGCCGGCTCGTTACAAAGGAATATCGAACCTAAATTTCGTAGGAAACGTATGATATATAGGAAGTAACAAATTGATGAGAATGTTGATAATAAAATCTCAGAATCTTTTGAAGAGTCCTTTGGAGTTGATTACTTTATACATAGTAGACAAGGCTATTTTTTTACTTCAAAATAGATTTGAACAATTCGAACCATATGAAAATATTTTTGGTTTTCTATTTAGCGGTAAAAATTAAGATCACTATATGATGGAAATTTGAAAAGTTATTGCCTTAATCTTGAATGTTCTTAAAGCACAATAATCAATTTGATGTTGATGGTTTAGATTTATTTCAGAATTAAAAATATTAAGAAAAATAGTACAATTAGAAGATAACAGTTTCATTGATACACTCGGTCAAATAAAAAAGTTTCATTCTTTTTCCAATGCCTATATTACATATGAAATAATGTTAATAACTCTTATTTCCGTCTCTTCAGCGGAAAAAAAATTTTCAAAATTAAAATTGATAAAATCTCACCTAAGATCCATAATGTCTCAATAAATATTAAATGGATTAGCTATATTGTCAGTTAAGAAAGACTTATTAGGAGCTAAAGATTATAAGGAGAAGTATTAATAATTTTATATCTAAGAACGCTAGAAAAATCGACTTCAAATAATAAATATTTTTAAAAAAAAACAGTTAAGGCCCCTCTTAAAGTTTGGTTTTAGGCCACAAAACACGTTGGGCCGCCCCGGCCTGTGTATGAACTTCCAGCATATTATGCTGGAACTCCAACATGCGGAAAGTTCCAGCATAATATACTGGAGATTGGAGTATGAACTTCCAGCATAATATGTTGGACCAGTATATTATGCTAGAACTCCAGTATATTTTGTTGGAACTCCAGAATATTATGCTTTAACTCCAGTATATTATGCTGGAACTTCAGTATATTATGCTGGAATATTTTTCGCATTTTGAGCAGTGTTTTCGTTCAGATTTATCTTTACATGAAAAGTGACAAAATTTCGATCACTTCTGAAATTGTGGCTATTTTTCAATTACCACTTATAAGTCTGACTATTTTTGAATTTCACCCCAGCATATCCCATATATTAATCTTGGATTATTTCCTTTGTTTAACGTCAAACTTTACCCCAATAAGCACTAAACACTTATACTGAAGGAAGTGAACATAATTACATTCGACCATTCAAAAGGTGTAAATATTTACAGCTTGTGCACAATTGAAAAGATTTACAGCTTGTACAGAGAACTTTTTAATTTTTTTTGCGTTTAGGGGATAGTTTCAAATCACATATATTTGGAGGCTGAGGATCAGTTCTCCTGAGGTGAGCCTGTTTCAGTTCCTTGGTCTAACCCTATCTATCTAAGAGGTTGCCTCAAGACTGGAAGCAATCACATTGCTGATCTATAAGACTAACTTTTTGCATGTGGGGTAGAAGTAACCTGTTATGCAATGACGATTTCCAGAACTCTGCCATCTTTTTCCGTGTCCAAAAACTGAGTCATAATTCCTGCTTTTTCCCCCCCAAGAAATGCAACACACACAAGGCAAAGACAATCTCAAACGAAACATATATGAAGACGTTGCTGTCTGTGCAATAGCGTAAGACAGACACACAGTTGCGTGCGAGAATGCAGACTCCACAGAGGAAGCATGGGCCTCACTCAAAGAGAGATCATGTTAAAAGTAGCAAAAACCAACTACGACGATAGAGAATGGGCTAAAAGATGGATGCATTAAGATTCAATGTGACATTACATTAAAGGGAAATATGAAGCTCTATTCTAAGCTAGCGTTTGACCATAATTTCCAAATTGATTTTGAAAAATCTGATTTGGGTAAAGTTTGGTTTGAAAATGAAAATGTGTTTGGACATACATTTTATTCATTAGAATAGCCATTAGAAATCTAGTACTAGTAGTATTTTTTTTTATTTTGGAATTATTTCAATTGAATTTATTTCGATTATTTTAGTTTAGATTATTTAGTATTTCGAATTTTATTTAGAATTTTTTTTTTATTTATAAATAAAAAAAAGTAATAAATACAAAAAATAGAAATAATAAGGAAGAGTAGGATTTTTGCAGGGAATGATTGGTCCGTCAGAAAAGGAAAAATGTGTTCCCAAATTTATTTTGGAAAAACATGTATACTATTAGTGTCTGTAAATATTTTGGCCCAAAACCAGCTGGTTTTGGGATTTGGGATTTTACCAAAATATAGGCAAAATCTATGGCCAAACATACATTTGCCAAATAAAACCGAAGTTTATTTTGGCAAAATCTATGTCAAATCAGTCTCTATGGTTTCAGAAAGGCCAAGTAAGATTGAATTTCCAATTTTCAGTGGTTTCCCCATGGGTGAATTTTTCCAAGTTGGTTTCCTCCAATATGGAGATGGACCACATTATTGAAGTGTGTATGGCATCATACACCTTATTACGGCTTAATTTCAATAGTAAGATTCCAACAGCAGTCTATTATACTCCCAAATTTCTACATCCATATTTCAAAATGACCCACCCTTTGATATAGCAGAGGGCCAAAACTAATACTCTAACATAAACGATCAGCCGAAATGTTAGAACTTAGAAGCTATACATCCAATTATCACACAACTAGCTCCAGATAAAACATAGATAGACACATGATCTTAGTGGATCCTGTTGCATAATTAAATTGTCACTGAAACGAACATTTGCAATACAACTAAGCTACGAAACGTATATTCGAGCACCAGTGTGTGAGATTGAATTTAAGTACCTAGCATTGCTTAGGATCTACAATAACCCACAAAAATTAACAAATACAAGTAACTTAAAAGGGATCTGACATACTGAAATAACACCGCTGAACAAAATCTTGATAGGTCCATTAATGTAGTTGAGCATGTATAAAAGGACCTTTTCAAGCAGGTCTGTAGGCCATATTCCATTTTTCTGGTTCTTATTGGAACTCATTTATCAGTTACTATGGCTGCTCTTTAATTGCATCTTACTTAATTCTCCAGAGCATCTACTTGTGCAGTTTCAGAGGGAGCTGGTTCTGAACATGCCCTCAGGACAGCTTCATTCTGTAAGAAAAATATATATCAGACTCCTTGTCTACCTGACATCTTACAGAAGAACAAAAAGGAACTGAATTACTCTACGATCTCATTTAAAGACATACAACTTCTTTTGTGTTCTAAATAGATGATTTTCCAATCAAATTAGATCAGACTTTTGATAGCAGGGTAGGAGGATCAAATCCTACCATCAAATATCATAGGTCTTCAGAGGCTGGTAAGACCCCTTTCTTTGGGTTGAGATAAAAGGAATGCCATCAGATCAAGCTTAAGAGAATGAACAAAGCTTATACTTCAGAGAGATCTGATATTCATAGGCTGATTAGACCATATGTTGATCGGCTATTCACTTTTCTCAGGCCCATCACGATGCACCGTTATGCTGACAAAGTGGATTTCACATCTATTGTTTCAAATAATCCATAAATGTTCCTAAAGGCAGTCAATGGTCATTGGAAAAACAATGAAATGCAGGATCTAGATAGAATCTAATAATCTCTAATTAAGGACGAGAAAATGGTACTGACTAGGTTTTAGGGTAATCAAAAACGGTAATTTAACATTCAGGCAAACTCATTTAAGTCAGTGATTTTTAGTTGAAAGGGATTATTTCACTGTAGTAGACTTGTTATGACAACTCAGCATTTTCTTATTAATTGACTGACATTTCACTTACTTAGAAAACAGTTAATGAAAAAGTTCGAGGGACCTCAAAGGTAACTACAGAAAACTTCATGAATCAAGAGGCATGCAATGGAAACTACTCAAAATAACAGTAGCTTTGAGCACCAGTTTACCAATGTATCTTCCTCATTCAAGTTGCATAATTCAATTCAGATATTGCCAAGCTGATTGGTTGATACAAAGCATTTCAGTTCCAGTGCCTTATTCAGGTATATCAAGACAAGAGTTTCAATTACTCCGACCATGTTGAGTATACCTTGTGATCTCCAAACTCTATCAAACACACACACAAAAAAAAAAAATACTCTGTGTGTCTTAGTTTGACTCAGCCTGAAGTTTAAGAAGGTAAAGAAGACTTTTGAATGTTGTAATCTTAAAGAGTTTTTACCAGAAAACATCCCTAAAGTATACATCAAAATTTAAGTGCATCCTTAATGTATTCCTTTTAGCACAAAACATTCCTAATGTGTTTAAAAATGAGAAGGCTTAGTCCAAAATAAGCTCTCCGTAAAAAAACTATCCAGTTGTAGCCAAAACACAAATTGTGCATAGTCACCCACTCCAGGAAAATAGAAAAAGGCAGCAGCCTTTCCCCTCCTTCATTAAACTATATCTTCCATGAGAGGAAAAGAAGAAACGTCTTGCATCTTTGGAACAAAGTAGTACAAGAAAAAAAGTGCTTCTAGAGTGAAAGCTTCTGATTGAAATACTTAGAGGAAACAAATATCAATGATGTGGGCTCAAAGTTTGAGTGATAATCTAAAACGCCCAATTATGGTATTTCAGATTTTTCTGAACTTTGAGTATTATTTGTATACTGTTGTTTGCTACTCCAATGTAAGTTGCTTCATCATTTACATCTATTTTGAGCTTCTGATGCAAACAAATGCAGAGATAGCAATGCCAACATCTACACATTCGTGTATGGAGAACCAGAGCACGGATCCAAAGAAGATAAGGCATGTAAGTCGAAGTCAAAGTCGACAAAGAAGAAGAAGACGAAGAAGAAGAAGTACAAGAGCTAATGTTTTCCCAATTTTATCCTCAACAAAGAGCTGTGGATGGGGGAAAAGCAGCATATGGGGAGCCACTGCCTATTCTGATTTCTAGGAATGTGTCACATGCGTAGCATGTGCTTAGGCTTCAACTGTTAGTTTTTTAACTAAGTTAACTTTGGACCAAGCCTGTTTACTTTTAGATACAATGGGGATGTTTCCTGTTAATTGGAATACACTAAGGACGCACTTGAATTTTAGGATATACTTTAAAGATGTTTACTAGTAAAAACTCTACTGTTAAACTAAAGGTGTGAATAACATCTCAAAGATTCCTTTGAATCTTGTGGTTTTAAACATGTTATGCAATTCTTATAAGTGTCACCAAGGGTAAAATGAGAACTTTGAATTAAAAACTTACTAAATATTAAAAGGTGGCATTCTTTTTGAAATAGACTAAAAAGGAAAGTAAGACACATAGATTGAAACGGAGGGAGAACTAAATTTCATGCTTAGAAAGGTTATTCTAGAAAGTTTGGTAAAAAGAAACATATATTTGTTCACTACATTCAGCCCTTTTTCTTTTCTATTTGGTGCATGGAATCTTACAACAAAATCATCTATCCATGTAAGCAGGATTATGCTATTGACAAGGATTTAGTGATTTAAAACATAATTAAATGGTATACATATTTTCTTTTAATCATACCATTTTAAAATGGTGTCGTCAAAGGCGAAGTCCAAAGCATCAATGTGGGCAATGTGGGCTTTATCCGCAAAGCGAAATTAAAGTGCAAGCTTTAGTGGAGAAACCACCTATTAAGAAAATATATATCTATACTATATTAAAAGCACGAAGGCCCTTAGCGAAATGTCGTTCGCCTTTTTTACCCTTTTAAAATAGTGTTCACACTAGACAAAATAATCATTTAATTATTATCCTAATATTTAGGACTTTAAAAGAAACTAAAATTTCGATTATTAGATTTTTCCTAATTGAATTAAGTAAGAAATCCCAATATTAAGTACTTTAAAATGGATATTATTTAAGAGAAGTAAGAGAATTACGTTCTTTTCCTAATATTTCCTCACCGTAATTTGCATAGAAATATGTTCACATTGATTCTTCTTTTTAGGGAACCTATAATTCTAACAAGATGTTTTTATATATGTTACTACTAGAGTAAGAGGTTTTGTACCTAATTAAATATTTAATTTAATTATTAAATATAGTTTTCAATATTACATAAATCGATACGAGAATAATATCATGCTCGAGTAGGGAAAATTCGAAAATAATTTATATCTTCTATGCTATCATAAAAGCATGAACTCTCAACAAATAATTCAGTTTTTGAATTAATAAAGCAGCAAAAAAGTCAATTCAATTTTGTTTCAAAATTATCATATAAGTAAACTTATTTGCCAAGTTGATAAAACTCTTAAGGTACACAAATATTTTTACACAATAAGAGCATTTTCCGTGAAAGAAATAAGAAAATAGAGTAAAATATATTATAATATAATATTAAAAGTTAAATTGCTAAAAAGGCTAAGTTGAAGCAATAAGGGTATAACATAAGACAAAAGGTATTCAAAAAAGTTGCCATTATCATTTTTCTTTCTTTTTATATTCATTCAATAAATGATAGCTCCCTATATTTTTCATATCGTATTATATTATTTTTTGTAATTCAATATTAGCTATTTAAGACATTATATTGTTATTCATCAATATTTTTCTAGGAGCTATAGTTCTATCTCTTCACTCACAAATTTCTAAAAGACCAAAAGATTCAAATTCTTTAAATTTTTTTATTATCTTTGAATAATTATTGTAAAGTATTTTTTTTTTGTTATTTGTTTATAGTATTTGGTAATAAAGATAACAATTTCATAAGATATATATTCAATGTCTCATAAATCATAATAAGACATATAAAGACTTATGTGGAGTAGGATTTAGAAACTTACATTTTTTTTCTTTGATATTTGTTCAATAACTCAAATATATTATTAAATAATATGTATATAATTTTTAAAAATTATATATTTATTGATATAGGTACACGCGCAAAGTGCGTACCCTAGGACTAGTATACATATAAGTATACATATAGGGTGTGTGATGTAAGAGAAGTAGAGATAAATACAAAAAAATCGTATGGGCAAATGAATTGAAAAAAGTTACTTTTAAGTGAAAGTACAAAGTAAAAATCATGTTGAATAAGTTCTTATACCAAATTAAGTTTTATATTCAGATGCAACTATAAGTATCTACTTCAACTACACTGTTTGGCCAAGCTTCTTTTGAGGCAGAAGCAGTTTTTTTTTATCAAAAGTGCTTTTTTTTTCAAAATTAAGGTGTTTGGCCAAGCTTTTGAAAGGAAAAAAAGTGCTTTTGAGGAGAAGGAGAAGCAGAAAAAAGTAGCTTCTCTCCAAAAGCACTTTTTTGAAAAGCACTTTTGAGAAAAAGCACTTCTCAAAATAAGCTGATTTTTGCAGCTTGGCCAAACGAGGGCTGTAGGTTTCCTCTGTCCCATATAACACCTCAATCCCAATTCAGTTGAAAAGAAACCAAAATTTACTCTATTAAACTGATTTTTAGCCCGTTTGGCCAAGCTGCAAAAATCAGCTTATTTTGAGAAGTGCTTTTTTTCAAAAGTGCTTTTCTAAAAAGTACTTTTGGTGAGAAACAGTTTGTGTTTGGCTAATTAGTTTGAAAAGCACTTCTGAGCAGCAATTAGTGTTTGGCCAAGCTTTAAAAACTGCTTCTAAGTGTATTTTTCTCAAAAGTGCTTCTCGAAAAAGTGCTTTTGGAGAGAAGCTACTTTTTTTTGGCTTCTCCAAAACTCCTNCTGCTTCTCCTCAAAAGCACTTTTTTTCCTTCCAAAAGCTTGGCCAAACACCTCAATTTTTGGCCAAAAGTGCTTTTGGCAAAAAAAAAAAAAAACACTTTTGGCCAAAAAAGAAGCTTGGCCAAACAGGCTATTTGCCCCGTTATCATCCAATATCATTACTCTATGGGCTACTCTTAGATGGGGAAACACTGCCAACTTACAGACTACTTCAGCCTTGTTGGAATGCACATTAGCATCTGAAGATTCATAAGTGTCTCCATCCACTAAGTCCCTAGGTCTTTGGTTCAATGGAAGAGTGCATCACATAATGAATGAGTTAGACACATGTTACGAGTTTGATCATGCCGTGGACTAAAGAGCTTGCTATCTAACACATGTTGCAGTAGAGGGGCAGACCCGCCCCCAGGGCATTGATCTAGTGGTGAGAGCGCAACTTGTGGGTGTGTGGGTTAGGCGAACATCAAAGGTTCGAACCTTACAATTACAACAACAACAACAATCCAGTAAAATCTCACAAGTGGGGTCTGAGGAGGGTAGAGTATACGCAGACCTTATCCCTAACTCGGAGGAGTAAAGAGGCTGTTTCCGGGAGACCCTCGGCTCAAAAAGACGGAACAGAGACAATAGATCCGTACCAGTAGCAGCAACAAGAGAGATAATATCAACATCGTAAGAGACAGAAAATATGTGGAAATGCAATAACAAAAGTACTAATTACACAGTACTATGAAAACAGAAAAATAGTGTGAACACAACATAAACCACTAGCAGTCCAAAACAAAACACTATTAGTCTAGAAAAACGCTCGAATTCCCTTTAACCTTCAACCTTATGCTCCACCTCCACACCTTCTTATCAAGAGCCGTGTAGTCGCGTCATGTTCTGCCTGATCACCTCGCCCCAATACTTCTTAGGACGCCCTTTAAAGAAAAAAGCCTGAAACTAAACAGAGAAGGGTAGAGGAGTTGGTGCGCCACTCACCCTCAATGATTTCTTGATTATTTAAAAAAAGGAGGGGTAGACCCATTATCCATCACAGTGTTGTAAATAGCGCTCGCTACGTCGCTAATAGCGACTAGCGACGCGAAGCTTGGCTCAGACGCTTTTTTTGGTCTGTTGCGATGCGTTTTTAAAAAGCGCCGGTGAGGCGAAGTAGCGCCGGCGAGGCGACAGAGGCGAGGTAGCGACAGAGGCGTCGCTTTTTAAAAAAAAGAAGAGACTTAAATAAAATTTAGGGTTTTCTCGACTCCCAGGTGCCTCTTTCTTCTTCTTTCTTCTTTCTTTCTTCTTCCTTTCTTCTTTTCTTCTTCTTTCTTTTCTCTTTTTTTTCCGGCAGTAAGCTTCTGTTTTTCCGGCAGTACTCTTCTTTCTTTTTCCGGCAGTAAGCCTCTGTTTTTCCGGCGTCTTTTCCACCAGTAAGCCTCTCTTCTTTCTTTTCCTTTTCTTTTTCAGGTATAAGTCTTTTTTGTTCTTCTTCTTCTTTCCGACAACAACTGATTTCCAGCAGAAATATTCTTTCTTTTTTTTCTTTCACCTCTATTTTCGTTCTGCTCTTCTTTCTTCTTCTGTTTCTCTCTTTTGATTTTTTTTTTCCAGTTTAGTATACAATTACTTGCATATTAAATTCTCCCTATAATTACAATTACAATTAACTGTTATTTTCTCTTTTTAATTACAATTAGTTTTTCTCTATAAACAGTATATTAAAATATTTGATTTCTATCTATTGAGTTTTTGAATTTATATATTTATTAATATGATGTTGTTATTGAGCTTGTAGTTATTTATATATGCAAATTTAATATTTTATTTTTTGTATTAATTGGCGCTTCACATCAAAAAGGCGAGCGCTACGCTTCTCGATTCTCACCTCAGTGAAGTGGGTCCTCATCGCTTTTTGTCGCCTCAAGCTATTCAAAATACTGATCCACCAAGTTTTGAACCATGTGCAGCTGACCCTTGAGAATTTCTCAATTATCAAAATAAGAAAAAGGCTTCTCAATCCACTCGGAAGCTTAGCAACTAAACTGTCTAATTGATCTCCACTTCAAACATTTTAGAAACCTCCTACTCGAGTTCAAGCAAAGATCATGAAACATCACAGAGGATACAAATAAAAACCCGCAAATAAATGTTACCAAGCAACAATGGCCAGAACTGCAAATCACCATATAAGATAAAGTGCGGTTCTTTCAAGATAAAGTACAGGCAAGGACTGAGAGAAGTTATAATCCATCACAACTTACTACAGCAAAGATTCAGCAACTAATGGCCTACTGACATTGTTAAGATAGGGTGTCTTAGTACCAGGTATATAAGCAAGTTGAACAAAAGCCTTGGAATAAGCTGAGGTAGCTACAGATTTTCTGGGAGACCTTTCGATCCTACAGAATTTTCTTCCACGGTATTAGTGTGATTGTTAGGAGGACAAAAGAAACAATTTTGGACGATGTAATATGCAGGTAAACCTTCCGATAAGCCAAACCCAGAAGCATTGATCTTAAACTGGAAATTTGGAACAATAAGTTAACCAAATTTGTTGATATAAAGAAAAATAACTCAAGTTAAGGACTTTAAAAAGAAAACTCCTCTGAATAGATATTTATTGGTTTCTCATTTAATCAACTCCACCATGGCACACCTTCTCCAAACAATTTAGGCATGTAGTACGCTATCAACTCAAAAATAAATCAGCTCAACAACTAAACTAAACTAAACTACAACATTTGAAGGTAGCCCAGAATGTCATAAATGGAAATAAAACTGAACTGAAACAAATGAGCCCTAAACTTGGTTATATAAGAAAGGAAGAGTTTGGGGAAAGAAGAAGAACCTGCCAAACACGGCGAAGACGCTTCTTGGCGTTAGCTTTACGAGTAGAAGTGAGCTTAATTCTCTTCCACAGAAGGCCGCCGGAATCGTGTTTCTTCACAATTTCCAGGACCCTTGTTCCCCAGAATGCGCCCCATGCCGACGCCATTCTCTCCCTTTCTCTGCCAATCAATCATATTTCTTTAAGCCCGGTACGAATATTGAATGGGCCACATATAACCTAAAGCCCACTCGAATTGATCCAAGGGCGATGTGCACAAATAGCCACTAACAGCTTCTGTCTTTATTTTAAAGCCAGTGTTTTAAATGTCTTTAGTTTTTAGCCACTGGTTTAATGAACTTTAACTATCCGGACGAAAATACCCTTCTGCTCCTGCCCTTAACTTCAGGACTTCAGAACTACATGTCCTTATTTTGAACTTGAAACTCTAAGTTCAGGACTTCAAGACTACATGTCCTTAACTTTTTAACCTGTAACTCTAAGTTCAGGACTTCAGGACTACATGTCCTTAACTTTTGAACTTGTAAGTCAAAGTTAAGGACCTATTGTCCTTAACTTTTGAACTTGTAACTGTAAGTTAAGTAGTGCTTGTCCTTAACTTTTGAACGTGTAACTGTAAGTTAAGGACTGTCTGTCCTTAACTTTGAGTTTTAAGTTCAAAAGTTAAGGACAACAGTACTTAAGTTTGACTTGCTGGTTAAAAAGTTATGGACAGGAAGTCCTTAACTTATAGTTCAAAGTTGAAAACTTAAGGACTCCTGTCCTTAACTTTGATTTCAAAGATTAAAAGTTAAGGACAGGAAGTCCTTAACTTATAATTTCAAGTTTAAAACTTAAGGACTGTCTGTCCTTAACTTTGAGTTGTAAGTTCAAAAGTTAAGGACAACAGTCCTTAAGTTTGACTTGCTGGTTAAAAAGTTATGGACAGGAAGTCCTTAACTTATAGTTCAAAGTTGAAAACTTAAGGACTCTTGTCCTTAACTTTGATTTCAAAGATTAAAAGTTAAGGACAAGAAGTCCTTAACTTATAGTTTCAAGTTTAAAACTTAAGGACTGTCTGTCCTTAATCCTTGTTCAGTTTCCAATATGCTGCTAATTGTGAGCGTTATAAGTATGAGTTTGCCCAGAATTGAGAGATAAATACATAATAATTTCTTGAAGCCTAACTGTTACCTTTCTCCAATATTGATGTAATTGAGAGATAAATACGTATCTTTTCTCCTTTTTGCCTCATTTTCAACTCGATGCATTATAAGATCTTTATTCTTCATGAGACATAGCATTTTGCATATAATGGTTATTTGACTTCTTAGTTAGATGGCTTACTGATCTTATCTGAATGTTCAGCTCCCAATATATCATGTTCATCCTTGTTCAGTTTCCAGTATGTTGCTAATTGTGAGCGTTATAAGTATGAGTTTGCCCAGAATTGAGAGATAAATACATAATAATTTCCTGAAGCCTAACCGTTACCTTTATGAAGGAAGGGTAAAAATAGTCTTTTCCCTATTAGTAGTGGCTATTTTTGTTGAGCATTATAATTAGTGGATAAAAATTAAAGATAACCTTAATTAGTGGCTACTGCACGCCATTTCACTACAAAAAAATGCTGCATTTGCGGAGGTTTTATCTACATATTGCGGCGGTTATAAACCTCCGCAATACACTTTTACGGCGGTTTCCAAAACCCCCGCAATAATGTTCGCCGCAACCAATTTGCGGGGATTTTCTGACAGACCGTTATCATATAGCGGCGGATATTTGACGGCGGTATAACCTCCGCAATTTGGTAGTTGGCTGGTGCTTATTAAAACAAATAGCGGAGGTCCGAAACCCCCGCAATTTCTTTATTTAACCCCCACAAATTTTATAACACAATATTATCATATGGTAAATAGCAGCAATTATAACCTCCGCTGTTCATTTAATTATTTTTTTCTGCAATATAATGTTACTCCATAACTATTCCAATTTCAATATATTAATATAATGAAGCATCAACAAATTATACAAATTGCTTAGTGGAATCAAGTAACATCAATATATTAATAAACCACAAAATACATTAGTCTCAAAAATTTGCATTAAACACAACAACTCCAACCATTAAACACAAAACATCAATATTATAAGTCTTAAAACTAACATTAAACATAACATCCACTCCAACCATTTTGGACAAAAGATCTACTATGATCATTCAATCGAGTACGATACTTAATTATCTAATACATTTGCAAGCAACTTCAATGGTTGTCGTTAGGATTACTTCCACCGGATGATCTTCTTATATCCGTGGGTAAAATGGATCCGCTAGCCGCATCACTTGGCTACAAAACAATCAAAGAAAATATAATTAACAAAAAGTACCTCAACAATATCCTATAACTAATTATACTTGGACTGAACAATCATACTTTACAAAATTAAATAAGAAAGTTATCAACTATTCTTACCGTTGAACGAGGAGGAGAAACAAATATCCCTGCAATTCTTCGGGTATCTTCCCTTCTTTCATTATCATATAC